GTGTGTGTGTGTGTGTGTGTGTGTGTGTGTGTGTGTGTGTTGATGTCAATAGAATAATGTGACATCATGTCCAGGAGCAGCTGCAGGAGATATTAATAGAACAGAAATGCTCACCTTCCTCCTGTCCCACTGCTGATGTTCAGGAGTTCAGTAGTCAGTTTAAGTCTTTGTAGAACATGCTGGTCTTCCTGTCCAGTCGCAGTGAGCTGCTGCTTTGCTGCTCTAGTTTAGCCAGAGGCAGTGATAGAAGCCAGGGAGATTAAATCCCTGTAAGCTCTGTTATCCAGACTACATTAAAGCACTGATGCACTGTTCCAGCACACCGGAAAGCTGCTTCTCTGTCATGCAAGGTGAAATGTGCTGCAGGAACTCGTTTTTTTATTTTATTTTTTTATAATAAAGTTGACTAAATTGCTTCAAATGTACAAAAACCTTTTCATTCTTTTGTATTTATTTATATTGTTTTTTTCACCTTTAACTTGAAATGTGATCGTGTCACAGGACTTGTTTTTTTATTATTTTTTTAGGTTATAAACTTTATTCATTTCGTAAAAGAAAATTCTATGTACAATAAAAAGAGAATACAAATAAAATGAAATGAAAGGTGGCAGAGAGAAGAAAAAAATCTTATAATATCTGCCCCTTTTAAACCAAACATTGAAACTTTCTAGAACAACAAAGTGAATGTCTTCATATTAAACAATTTCATTTTTTTAACAGTCCAGTCTTTATCATTCTCTTAAATATGCATATTGATGTGGCACTTTTAACATCATCTTCTAAATTATTCCACAGTCTCACTCCTTGAATTGAGGTGCATCGTTCTTTCAAACGTTCTAAATTTAGGTTTCATGAACATCTCTATTCCCTTAAGATTATAACAGCTTTCTCTCTTTGTAAAATGTATCTGAACATTTAAAGGTAATGCATTTCGGTGTGCTTTATGCATAACGAACAAAATATTATAATCAATCAAATCGTAGACTTTCATTGATTTCAGTTTACAAAATAATATATTAGGGGGTAAAGGTTAATTTTTCGAGTGTTGGCTCTTAAAGCCCTTTTTTGCAAAATAAAAACAGGATGTGTAATTGTCTTACATGCTTTTCCCCATACCTCAACACAATAGACCAAGTGTGGAACAATTAATGTAATATATACAGAGCTTTATCAATGAACAAGTCCCTTACTTTGTAAAGCATAATGTCTTTTATTTAAAGATGTTATGCTTTTATGTTTTTCTGTAAAGGATAACATTTATTTGACTTGTAACCCTGTGTTTTCATTCAACAAAATGTATTGACTTTGAGTGACAATGTTGTATAAAAATATTGTTTTTTTAAGGTGTAAAAGTTTTAATAAAAATCTCAAGGTGATTATTTTTATTTCAAACTTAGAAAACATCAATAATTATAATTATTTTCAAGCTCCTTTAAGTTTTCAAAATATTTTTTCCTTTTAATTTGATTTTTTTTGTCTCTCATAGTTTTAACATTAGAGCAAGGACACTGCACACTGAAGATAATTTTTAGCCAACACTGTGAAACAAAAACAAGTTCTGTCCAGTCACGAACAACAATTTC